TGCTCTGCGCAATTGAAAGTGGTCTTCCGCCCAGGCCCTTTGCCCCCGGGAGGTATTTTTATTGTCACCCGAAATATTAAAGGGATCCTAACATTAGGCCCTCAATCCCACAACACTAGCATTAAATCCATCCCTAAAACCTCAAACCCTAATCAAATCCCAAAAGAGCCCTAAACCTCAAACCCTAATCAAATCCCAAAAGAGCCCTAAACCTTAAACCCTAGTCAAATCCCAAAACAGCCCTCAACCTTAAACCCTAATCAAATCTCCTAAACCTTAACCCTAAACCCTAATCAAATCCCAAAAAAGCCCTAAACCTTAAACCCTAGTCAAATCCCTTAAACCCTTAACCCTAAACCCCCGAACAGGATCGACCTCTTCAGGAGCTGCAAGATGGACGGGAGAGCAACTGTCCAGGAGGCGGCGGCGGGATCCAATGTCTAGGGTCTATCTGTTAGGGGCCTAGGGCAAGTATAGAGTCTAGGGTAGTATGAAGGGTCTTTCGGGTTTGGAGCAGAAGGCCCTTCTCTTGCCGCCATGAGACTTTTGTATTGCATGTTGCCTTCCCAGAGAACCCAATACCCCTTAATTAAGGAATATACCTTAAATCATAATATTAAGGTCCCTATAATTTAAAGTATATTCCTCAATTAAGGGGTATTGGGTTTTCTGGGTTGTGCAGAGGTTGAAGGTGTCAAGGGTTCGGCGGGCGCTGTCCCCTTCAGCCCGTCTGACCAAGGGTCGATTTCGGGCTGCGCCCCGAAATCCCGAACTCTACCCTAAACCCGAAACCCTAAACCCTAAACCCTAAACCCTAAACCCTAAACCCTAAACCCTAAACCCTAAACCCTAAACCCAATAGCAAGCTGCAGAGCCGACATAGCCCCGAGCCTTTCCGCAAGAATGCCAAAATTCCTCCTCCCTGAACCCTGGACCTTAAACTATTTCCCCCTAAACCTTGAACCCTAAACCCCAAACCCTATAGACCCGAGACCCTAAACTCTAAACCCCTAAACCCCTAAACCCTAATCCTCCTCCCCAACACTCGATGAGCAAACAAGACCCCAACCTCCAGGGTGTCCGAGTCCCGAGCCGGTTGGGCGCCGGAATGCCGGAAAGTGCAAGCCCACTACCTGGACCCCCAAAGTAGGGTTTCAGGGTTTGGGGTTTAGGGCTTAGGGTTTCAGCGTTTAGTGCTTAGGGCTTAGGACCACCAAAGTATGTAGAATAAAGGCCTTTTAGAGGTTTTGGTTCATTATTTTACCTACTTTTGGTGGTTTGAGGTTACGGTTTACCCCCTTCCCTCAAACAAAAATCACAAAAAGCCAACATGCCTTAAACTCTAAACCCTGGAGCCGAATCCTCAAGCTGAGCCCGAAGTTCGAAAGCTCGCTGAGCCCTAAAGCCTCAAGCCGATTCATTCTGACCCTAAACCCTAAACCCTAAAACCTAGACCCTAGACCCTAAACCCTAAACCCTAAACTCTCGAAACTCAAGTTTCAGGGCTTGGGTCTGAATGTCTGTTACGAGCCCTCAGCCGCCTGAACCCTCAACCCGAAACCGCACCAGCCCCGACCTGACGAGGTAGAAGACCTCAACCCTAAACCTATAACCCTGACATGAAAAGAGCACATGGGTTTAGGGTTTAGGGTTTAGGGTTTAGGGTTTAGGGTGGAAGAATATCCGAAGCCAGCAGCAGAGATTAGAGCTCAATTACAATAACTTGATTACAAGACAAGCAAGCTGCTACCACAGCCAAGTATTCCAAGAGCAAAACGAACAAGAACAACCTCTAAGCCCTGAATCCCTAACCCCTGAACCCTAAACCTTAAATAAACCCTAAACCCTAAACCCTGAACCTTAAATCCTACAACCTGAGGATTGGACTCTGGAGAAAAACCTCCAGAATTTGAAGGCCGCGCAAACAACGTTCACTAGGTCTAGGGTTTGGCGTGTAGAGCCAAGCATGTAGAAGACGTACATATGGCTGCATAGATAGGTGGATGGATGATCCATGGATGGATAGATACGAGTTGAATTTGCCTCTCTTTCTCTCTCTCTCTCTCGCTCTCTCGGGCTCTGTTTCCGTATAGATACAGAATGCGTAGACTGCGTACACATGAAAGTAGCGGCATCAAAAACTATCTTTCACGTGGTACATAACCGTTCATAACGCAACAGAAAAGACTAATAACCAAATCGTAGTAGATACGTATTCAGGAGACGCAGATGAAGGAATCAATAAACAACCAGAAGTAAACATGTAAGCGACTGACTATTCCCCTCGCTTTGTACTAGGCCTATGGATTAAGTGTGGTTTAGGGTTTAGGGGGTGTAGGACATGTGAAGCCCTGACGTACAGGAAACACCACAAAGCCGTAAACCTTAAACCCTCCCGTTTGAGCCTGTCGACCGAACATAGGGGCCTAGATCGTTTGCGATGTTTATCCTTCGGTCTAGAATGTCTGCCCAAAACCAACCCAAATCCCTGTTCTTTCTGGTTTGTAAATTGAGACCGTGTGCAGTTTTGCGTTGTTTTATGTTGCATCCTTCAAGACAGACCGAAAGCCCCTTCTTTTGAAGAGCTGGGTAGTAAGATTCTCTAGTCGTAGGTCAGCCCTGAACCCTTCAACCCTCGCCCGAACGTCCCACTCAAGAAGTACCTATACCGTTTTGGGGCTCCTGATTATAATTATAGGGTAGTATACCCCCCAAGGCCCTATACCAATTATTAAGGCCCCGACAGTGCCGGGAAGCCCCAAAGCCCTAAACCACCGATTGTTTCAACCTACGTCCAGACTGTTTCTTCTCACCCAACCCGTAGTTTGTCTCCGAAAATCCGTGTTTTTCAAGCTAACTGTGAAGCCCTCCTCTTGTCTGCAATCCTCGACCCCTTCTACCCGTCACAACTCCAAGACGCAACCAGTGTGCAATATCGTGGGGAACATCTAATCTCGTAGAGGACCCTGCTTGGATTCCTAGAAGGCTCTGAAACAAAAGGCCGAACATCTCCTCGGAGCCCCTAGTATTAGAAGATGTCACAAAGCCCCTCTTCTAATCATTCAGGCCCCTAGGGTATAGAAGCCCTTGAAGGAACCTTCTTCCCATTCTTCAGACCCTCCATAACCCTGGAAGACCCCTTCCCGAACCCTCAGGCCCAAGGGGTCTGAAGTTCCAAGGAACCCTTGTAATTATGGGTAGTTCTCTAAACTAGGGTCCCTTTTCGGGCCCTTCTTCGAAGGGTGCCGTACTATATTGGGGACCTCAAAAGGGGACCCTAATTTAGAGAACTACCTTCTTCCTTAAACCGCAGGACATCCGCAAGGTTGTGCGGAGCATTTTCTGGGGCTTCCAGGACATCCAGATCCAGGCCGGATCATAGGGTTTGAACAACTCTCAGAGTGTTGTGTAATACACGGTTTAGGGTTTAGGGTTTTTGGGGTTTAGGGTTTTTGGGGTTTAGGGGTTTAGGGTTTAGGTAAGGCCACCATAGTGGTTTAGGGTGCAGGGGTTTAGGGTTTTTGGGGTTTTGGGGTTTTGGGGTTTAGGGTTTAGGGTTTAGGTAAGGCCACCATGGGGGGTCCTGAGCCCGAAGGAGAGCCGGAGCCAACTCTCAGAGGTTTTGGACCGGAACGCCTTGATTTCAAGACATGCCCAGAGAGCCCAGTGCACCTTAAATAAGGAATATACCTTAAATTATAGGGTTTAGGGTTTGGGGTTTCGGGTTTCGGGTTTAGGGTTTAGGGGCCTTAATATTATGATTTAAGGTATATTATTGGGCTCTCTGGGTGGCAGACCACGCACCCGAAACGCCAGACCCAGCATCCGAAAAGCTCAAGGCTAACCCGACCGTAACCCTAAACCTTTCGGACGCATGTCCCAAACCTCACTCCGAAATACCGTAGCTGAGGTATACCTTGAATTGTATTAAGGAGACTGTAAGCCCCAAGCGACTTTCTCCAAAGCGAAAACAGCAACAACCCTAAACCCTAAACGGCCCTAAACCCTACAACGGATTTGGTTGCAGGGGCTTTCGAGTCTCTGGGTCTCTCTCTCAGGATGACGCCGACGATCCGCCGCCGCAGGTGGAGGACACGCTGGCGAGCCGCTGGGATGCCACTAAGTCGGAGAAGCAGCGCAAGCACGAAACGTAGAGTCTGTGGTGGTGTAGTGGCAGATGTTAAAAGAAGCAAGCAGAAGCAGAAGTAGTGGTTATGATGGTGGTCGCAGCAGCCGCAGCAGCCGCAGCAGCAGTAGTAGGAGCAGCAGGAGAAGTAATAGTTTTGACTTCGTCGTTGTCGTTTCTTTTCTCAACCCTCAACCCTGAACCCCAGACTCGCAACCCTAGCCTAAACTCCACATCCTCAACCTTCAATCCCGAGAAACAAACCCACAGCTCGATTCAGAAATGCCCCCCTAAACCCTAAACCCAAAAAGACCCCCAAACCCGAAACGGAGCACACATGTTTGAATCCATGTAAAGAACCCACATAAAGACCCGAGGTGTCAGAATCAGAATCCTATATTGGTAAGCATATTAGAGTTTGTCACCCTAACCGCCTGCAACCTCCGCGCCGTGCCCGCAGCCCTAAAAATCCCTAAACCCCTAACCCCCTAAACCTTAAACCCCTAAACCCCTAAACCCTAAACCCTAGAAGTCCTAAACCCTAAACCCAGAAACCCCTAAACCC